CGCAAGTCCACCGGGAGACGTTTCGCCAACACCGCCCCTCTTTTTTCCCCCTGGGCCGAGCGAGCGGCCCGCCTGAACGCACCTCCCGCGAGGCTTTAGGACCCCCCCCTCCGTGTGTGGGGGCGGGGGCAGGGGCAGGCGCACTCCCCGGATCAGGCCCCCTGAGCTTTCCTAGGAGCCAGAAGGGACTGACCCTTCAAGGCAGAGAGAGAGAGAGAGAGTGTGTGTGTGTGTGTGTGGTCAGCAGGCCCAGGAAGAAAGAGGGAGGAGAGGGGGTGTGTCTCTTCCCCCCCCCCCAGTTGGTATAAATGGCTTGATTTATGCATATATGCTTTTTTTGGGGGGGGGATCTCTTTTGAGTCAGTTAGGGTACATTTTGGTTCTAAAAACTGTAGTTGATTAGTTTGATCAGTTCCTCATCTTTTTTAATTGAGTTACTTTTCTGTTAATCTTCCTCCAGATGGATTTTAAAAAGCAACAAGCATCGAGTGAATTGAACTGGGGTTTTTCTGACACGCTGGGAAATCCAGGGTATTGTAGGTTTGGTGTTGGATCAGGAGCCGTTGCACACCTTGCGTTTTCTGAGCCGGCTGAGAACTCCAGCCCCCCCCCCATGCCTCCCATGGGACCAACCTACTGAGCATTGCTTCTCAGCATCCTGGGATCGCTGGGGGAAGAAAACACACCGCCTGGAGCACACTGATCTTCTAAATCCTTCCATGTGCTGCAGCAGCCGGTGGATATTTGCAATATGGCCTATAGTGCCTCTCCCGTTTTGCAATCCAGATTGGATATTGGGCTTGACTTGCTTGTAGGTTTCCTTCTGTGTAAATTCTGCCACAAAACCTGGTCTGGAGGCATGAAAAGGTTCCCCTCTGGTAAAGAGCCCAAGATCACAGGCTCAGCTAGCTCAGTGCATCCTTCGCTCCGCGACCAGCCAGGTGCACTGATGGGCAAGCAGGAGGGGGTCAGATGCAAGGACCACCCTCCTTTCCGCTTTCCCCACGAACCCCCTCCTGTTGTCCACTGCCTTATTTTGCCTGGGGAATGGAGTAAAACTGGAAGGAGATTCTTTCAGCCTTAGGAGGAAAGGCTGAAATAATGAGGCATGCTTAGCTTTGAGAAAAGAAGACGCAGGGGTGATAGGAGAGCACTTTTCAAATACTTGAAGGGCTGTCTTACAGAGGAGGGGCAGGATCTGTTCCCGATCATTCCAGGGTGCAGGATATGCAACCATGGGCTCAAGTTACAGGAAGCCAGATTTCGGTTGAATCTCAGGAAAAACTTCCTAACTGCTAGAGCAGTATGAGAGTGGAACCGGTTACCTCGGGAGTTGGTGAGCGCTCCAATACTGGAGGCATGCAAGAAAAGATAATCATCTGGCAGATCTGCTTTGATAATATTGGTTGTTGTGGGTTTTTCGGGCTCTTTGGCCATGTTCTGAAGGTTGTTCTTCCTAACATTTCACCAGTCTCTGCGGCCATGGGCATCTTCAGAGGACAGCACTCTGTGCTCTGGTGTAGTTGGCTCGGGAGTGGAGTATTTATGGCTGTGAGATAGGCTTTTATCTTTTTCTGTAGATGGGTGATTAGATCCATCTGTCCTTTGCGAATACTTTGATGGTATTCTTGCCTTGAGCAGGGGGTTGGACTTGATAGCCTTGTAGGCCCCTTCCAATTTCACTTTTCTATGATTTCTATGAGATGCCGGAAGCTCGTTTGATGTGACTCCAGGCTTGATAGATTCAACTTGCAAAATAAATGCAATAAATAAATTTGGACTTACACACTTGGGAGAAACTTTCTGACAGAGTTGTTCCGCGTGCATGGTGGTGCATTCCCTTCCATCCTCCTGGTGTTGGCGATGGGGCTGGCTGGCTTTCGGGGGCATGGGGAGGGCTTATTCCTCTCCTCACTTGGTCATGACCCTTGGCACGCCCCAGGTGGGGAGTGACCGGTGCATAACCTTTTTGCAACCTCCTTTCTTGCATGCTGTTTTGCAGGAGGAGTTTGACCGTTACTCCTGTCTCTGCTTGGAGATCAGCCCGAATGTTTTCGTAGACGAAATGGCTGTTCTGTTCCTTACGGAAGCCTCCCGGAGTAGGCTGATGAGTTGAACCGTGTTCGATTCAGACGACAATCCCAAAGTGGTTTTGGGAGGCAAATGTCGGCTCCGTTTCTCAGAAAGGTTTAAAACAGAAGCAGGGTGTGTAGGCTACGGAGAGACACAGAAGCACAATAGCATGACAAGAAAAGAATGTATACATAAAACGTTTTGTGTGTGAGCGTGTAAAACAGGCTGTTTCCCCATGCATCATGAGTAACTTTTGTTTCTTCCAAATATCAATAAAACAAGCACTCTTCCCCCTTCTGATATATTTATTGAATTCGTTTTGGGCAACTACAGATTTAACATTGATAGACTAGTTGACTTGCATTTGCTACAAGATGTTTTCCTAATTCTTGTGGTCGTCACAATAGTAGCCATTCAAGAACTACACTTGCTATTTTGCTATTCTGGAACATTTATATTTGTCCTTCTGCCATAAAATGAATGAAAAACATCATTATAATATTTTTTTTTTTGCTTCAGCCCATAGGCCTTTGAGATGTTATTAAATACACAATACAATGCAGTACAGAGAATCTGAACTAAACTTCTGCTCAAGATTTAAAATTCTAAGATCTAAAAGGCACACTACAATGCAGTACAGAGAATCTGAACTAAACTTCTGCTCAAGATTTAAAATTCTAAGGTCTAAAATGCATGCTACATTTGTTGTTGTTGTTGTTTAGTCGTTTAGTCGTGTCCAACTCTTCGTGACCCCATGGACCAGAGCATGCCAGGCCCTCCTGTCTTCCATCGTCTCCCGGAGTTGGGGCAAGTTCATGTGGGTCGCTTCGGAGACCCTGTCCAACCATCTCATCCTCTGTCGCCCCCTTCTCCTCTTGCCCTCACACTTTCCCAACATCAAGGTCTTCTCCAGGGAGTCCTCTCTTCTCATGAGATGGCCAAAGTTTTGGAGCCTCAGCTTCAGGATCTGTCCTTACAGTGAGCACTCGGGTTTGATTTCCTTCAAAATGTATAGGTTTGTTCTTGCAGTCCAGGGGACCCTCAAGAGTCTCCTCCAGCAGCAGAATTCAAAAGCATCAAAAGCACCCTACATACCTAAACATAAACAATAATACAGTTAGCAAACTTAGTTACAGTTAGCGTAGGACCTTTGAGTAGCAATAATCAAGTAGCTTTGTTAGCTGTAGAGGGCCCAGCTTTTGCAAGACCGGAAATTTTGCTATTTGAAATGTGACAGATTTGCCCTTCTCTGAAAGTAACATCCTGAGTTTGTCTCTGCCAGACTTTCCAGATAATTGTTCCAGAGTAGAACTCACTAGTCTTCCTTGCTGTGCTATGGACATGCCAAGCATGGAGGAGAGAGCCTTATTGTAAAGGGATGCACAGTTTTTGGGGTGCCGAATTGACT